TCCAAGACTAAACTCTCTGTTATTTAATAGTTTTAGTTTGTATAAATTAAAATAAATATCAGAAATTATGATTTAAACTGAGACGAGAATACATAATATGATGAAGTATTAATCTTGTAACATGATAAATACGAACCGATCATGTTTCTTAACAATGGAGGCCACGGGTGTTAGTTAAAGAATCTGATTCAAGCTGGGAACAAATCAAACAAAAATTATAGGTTGAAGGAAAAATGACGCAATTTACAACTTTCAACTCTTACAGCTTAATTATCTATGCCCAATAGAAGAATGCTACGTTGTTCCTTGTGCACAAATAATCTTCTGCCATGAGGACGTCTTATGGTACAAGGTTGCTATTAAATCCTTCTGCTCCAATCAAGGTTGGACTGAGGCCGTTTGATGTTCTCTTCACCTGCTTTACATTGCATCATTGGTTCAATTTATGACAATATCTACTTCCAACATGCGAAGCACCTTCAGGAAGTATTTTATACCGAGTTAAATTTGAAACAATAATATTGCTTTCAGTATATAATCTTATCATACAGAAACATTGCTTTCAGTCTGTGATTTGTTAAAGGAAGCTTAAAAATGTTGTTCGAGAAATATTGCAGGAAGAATAGAAGGTTCTTGATGCAGATATCCATGGAAAATATGTGCAAAGAAACAACTATGTGCATATGGCTCATATAGATAAATTTAAAACGATTGCTAATAATAAGCTTTAATTTTCAAACCTGAGACATGCGAGGCCTTGAATGAGGGTTGTGCCGAATGCACAAAGAGGCACATTGCAGCATGCTGTAAATCTCTTGCTCTAAGTAGCTATTCCTTAACCCAGGGTCAATCAGTTCTCGAATGGCATGTCTTCCTAGCAAAGGGCGTGCCTGCTCCAAATTTAAACATCAATCATGAGCCAAAGGAAAATGAGAATGAATTAATGTAGTCCAAGAAAAAAATAGTAAAAAACCATCCATCAACAAGTTCTATATGAAAATCAAGTGCCCCGGACCAGACTCATACCCATTCAAGGAGGCACTGCTGTCCCTTAGGCCTAGTTATATCCATAGCCTTCCGTCTAGTAGTCAGCTGACTCAGCTCTATCAATACCACACCAAAGGAGTAAGCATCAGCTTTCCCAGTTATTTGGCCACTTTGAACATATTCAGGTGCTAAGTACCTACCAAGCAAAACCATTTCTGTATTAACTTGGTCTATCCTGGCAGGTAAAATAATAAAAGGAAGAAAGTAAATACATAACATGCAGGCCTACCCAAATGTTCTAATTATCCTAGTTTCAACTCCCAAATCACCATCTGGTTTCCACCTTGCCAATCCAAAGTCCCCAACATATAAAACCAGGAGCAACACTCAGTTCCCTTTCTGTTTGAACGTCAGTAAAAGGTCATTTGATGGGGAAGAAAGAATGTGAATATTCAATGTGTGATGCTTTGAGGATAAAAGAAAGCAGGTGAAGAAAACATTTGAAACTTTGTTCAGAGAGATTATAAATTGATATACAAGAGGTTCAAAATCATGGGTGATGAGGATATTGTTAGGCCGCAGATCACAGTGGACAATACAGCCGACTCTGCATGCTTCATGAAGGTATCTCAAACCTCGAGCTGCTCCAACAGCAATTTTTTGTGTGGCAGACCATTCCAATAGCTTATGTTTTTGTCCTGCAAAATGTATAGATTAATGGAATTAAATTGTGAGAGTGGGAACTTAAATTCTACAGAAACCATGAAGGCTTTGGCTAGAAAGGCTGAACTGAGTAAATCTTGGACAATCTAATGTATCTGACTAAAGCAAATTTCTGCTGAATTAATATTTGTCATTCAATGGAAATGTCCTTGGGCAGTTTAGCTATCTCCAATTAGTTGCAAGCTTTTTAAAAGTGATTAAAATGTAATGCTATGACAAGTCATGCAATTTCAATATTCAATTGGAGAGGAATATCTTCCCTGATTGCAGTAATTTTAGTCATTTCTTGCATAAATAGCACTTTCATGATAAAGATTGGTATGTCATAACATAAACTAGGATAGAAGGAACTTACCATAAAGATGAGAATCCAAAGATCCATTACAAATGTATTCATAAACTAGCAATCTTTTCCATCATCAATACAAAATCCAACGAGCATCACAACATTGCGATGTTGTGCACCGCTTAAAACCTCAACTTCATAGCAAAACTCTTGATTCCCTTGATAACTAGCCAATTTATGTTGCTTGACGGCAATGGCCTGGCCATCTGACAAGATTGCTTTATGAACAGAACCAAAGCCACCTTTCAGCCAAGAAATTTGTTTGTGAAAATCCATCAGTTGCAAGTTCCAATTCTGCATAAGAGAACCACCACCTAGGAGGATTCCCAAATACAGGGGCCTTGTGTTGACACATTGAACATAATGGAGGAGGACCAGCAGGTGCTTTTTTGGAAAATGAAATAGCTTCTCTGACACTTCTTTGCACGTTCAGATCAGGCCTATTATTGAAACTAATATCAGGTTCTTGACTCAATGTTGAAAGTTTCTCCAACAAAAAGCTATATATATCACCTGGACTCTCTAAAGTCTAAACCCTCCCTAAGATGTTTTGAATAACTGCTAGGACTGAGACTGTCAACCATCCATGGATGGAAAAATGATCCTGTGAAACGACTTAGTCTTTCACTAGAACTGTCAGAATCAGATTCAAATAGACTTTGATTTTCTTTAGAGGTGAAGGTATGCTCCTTCTTCAAGCCTTCATATATCCCAGCAAGGAGAGAAGGTGAAGCCCTTGGATCTGAGCTTGATATTGATCAAGTTCCAATGTCTGTAGTAGTCACTGATGAGTCATGCTCTGGACTGCTTGCAGGAGTCACAAATGGCCCTCTAATTACACGCCTGTTTTTCTTGTGTTTTGGAGATGCTTCCGATTCAAACGATAGTGGGCAATCCACTTCAAATACCATCTTTGGTGATTCAACCAAATTCAATCGAAGAACCTTTGCCTGAGATCGTTTCATAACCACAAGATTGCACTGCAATTCTTTCAAGAAGTATTTCTTCTCATGTTTCATGTGTCTGTCAAAAGTTTGACACTAATAATCGATTGAAAAAATAGAAGAACTAAAGGTACCAAATTAAAATGAAGATGCAGAAATGAGAATGTTGAGTGATAGAGAAAGCCAACAACTAAAAGAGCCCCTGCAATTTAGTTCTCTAATTTAACTAAAAGCAAGCCCTTGAGCAGTAAAAGAAAATATGGTATGCCATATGCAAGAGACAATGTTTACATTATACATTACTTGTCCAATATAACCCAGTTTGATTGAGCTTTCTTGGCTTCAGCAGCCACTACTCCACATGTTGAGCTAGAAACAATCCTTACCCTGATCTTAACCTGTGAACAGGAATGTAAACATTCACTAGCCGTGAAACGTGTAACCACGTGATACTTCAATTTTCACCACTAACCTTCCCTGGATCATAAACATCATTCAACTGAAGCATCATTTGGGAGCATGAATCTGCTATATAATCTTTTTGATCTGAACTAGCTCCTGGAAAATACCTCCAATGACCAGTGGTGCAATCACTGGTAAACCTTGACAAACCCCATATCCATTTACCTGAGTATATAATTGATTCTGATAGATTATTGTTAATATCAACTACTATGAGGTCCCTCTAACAGAGACTTCATCCACAAAATTGTCAATTACAGGGGAAATTGAAACTGATCCCCAGAAAACAGAAATGCTAATGCAACTATTCTCATCCAGATTAGGAAAAACAAAAGAATAATAAAGTTCAAAAGTTGGAATAATAATAAAATGAAGAAAATTACTTGAGGAGTAGGGAGGAATGACCACAAGTAGCTTAATGCAATCCCCAGGCTGAACAACATGAGTCAAATCCCAGATAAGAGCAGTCCTTGGAATTTCCTTGGATGCTTTAACGGTGACCACCACCACTTTCCCCACCAAATTCGAAACCCCCTTCTCCTTCATCTCAAACTGACGACCAACCTACAATCCAAACCCTCCAACACCTACAATGCATCCCATAATCAAAACCTACATCAAATTTCATCCACAAACGGCAAAAGCAGTGTCATTATTGCCAAAAATGAACAGTGAATCTAGTATTCATCATCATCTACGTATCCAAGATGCCTCTTTTTAGAGTTCCAACATGAAGAGTTAAACAAAGAAGAGAATAGAAGGGGACGTGTTCTTGAAGGTTTTGCCTTCATCAAATTTTAAGTACCCTTTCGTTAAAATAATCAGCCAAAAAAATAATAATAATTCTACCGTTTAGATTATACCAGACAATACAATATTTATTAATGAACAAGAGTGATGATTCTGATTTTATAATTCAGTGACTAGGTATTCAAAAAAGAAAGCTTCTTTTGCACACATTGGGAGTACACAGGAAAAAGGTTTCCTTTACAGAAACTGAGGTTGTTTTCATGCATAATTCCTAAGATTTTTTACTTAAAGCTATTAACTTTTCTCCTTTTTGATTTTTTCTTGCAAATCTATCACCTGTTTTTGAGCAGAATTAGTGGAAAGAAAATGGCAACGTAGAAAACGACGAAAAGAAACGGCCTTATGTGAAAGGATGAGGGAAACGACAACTGCTGCAATCAAATGGATTTTAAAATATAAGATGCAGCATGCAAGCTTTCTATCAATCCATAATCAAAATACTGAAAAATGAAAACCAGTAAGTACTTGTGCATTTCGTTTTAGTTCCTTCGTCACCCTCTCTCCTAGTCTTCTTATTTCTGCTTGCCTTTCATAAGGAATGACTAATTTTCCACAATCCCATCAAAATACTAAAGAGAAAACGTAGCATCGAACGTAGAAAATGGAGTTTTTAATTAGGAATTGTATTGAAATTTTGCTTTATTCTTTAGAAATGGAGTCAAGAGGGTGGGTGTTGGGTCGATGTTGGTGGGTGAGAAAATTTCAAAAAAGATTGATTTGGGTTTGTCTTTTGTACTGAACTTTTGAGTATTGTACAAAGGATTTGTTGATTCTTGGTTGAGGATTCAATGCTGTCTCTGACCTTGCTTGCCATGGATTTATTACAGTTTGTTATCTTGGAGACAGCACTGTCTTTTGTGTTGGGTGGGTGCAGGTCCTCCAAATGACGCAAACTGAGATCCTCAATAAACATGACACAGTTAAAGTAGGAGTTGCTTTCTGAAAATTCACACTGTGATTTGTAGGGCACTTGCCAAGTGGGTTTAAGCAACAATATTTATTATTTATACATTCCAAAAAGGAAGTAAATGATCAAATTAAATTTCTTTGTCTTGTTTTAATTTGTTTTGAAATGGTACAATATGGTTCATTTGTAGGACAAAGTAACCTGAGTGAACTTAAATGCCCCATGAAGACAGAAGCAGGAATTTGGGTAGGACAGGGGTGAGGGTAACATCAATTCTGAAATAGAATTCGTTTGAGTAACATTAAACATTGCTTTTTTTTCTCCATTAAATGTTTTGGCAGTCCATACTTTATACGCTTTAATTAGTAGTACTAATAAAAAAAGTGGGATTAAGGAAAAATGTGCATTAATTAGTAATAAAAAAAAAGATTAAGGGTATGTTTGGATAAAAGTTAATAAAGAAAAGTGAAGGAAATGGAGGAGAGGGAAGCAAAAGTAAAAGATTATTACTAACTTTATTTAAATAGATTTAAAAAGAGGAAGGAGAGGAGAGGAGAAGATTATATTTTTTTATTTAATTAAATAAATTAAAGAAACTTAATTATAAAATTAATTAAAATTTTATAATTTTAAAATTAAAGTTAAAATAAAAAATTTAAGTATATTTATGAAAAAATAAAAATAAAAATAAAAGTAACTCAAATCCTTTTAAATCTCTTATAATTAGAGAAATTAAAAATAATAAATTTTGAAAAAATTTGTTGTCGCTATATATCTATCTTTTAATGAACTTATCCAAACAAAAGAGAGGAGAGATCTCCCTCACTCTCTTTCTCTTTCCTTTCAACTCC